CCTTCGTGACGGGGGTTTGGGGGGGGGACAGGGGGACGAGACTCGGGCGGCGCAACAGCCGGGCAAGCCCTGCGGCTACACTTGAGTTGGCCCAAAGCCCTTTCCTCACTTTCGCTCGAGTGCACTGGGGGGGGGGCGCTGTGCCTGCCTGCTTACACAGGCCCCGAGGACTCCTCCCAGTTCCCCTCCGGTCCGAAAAGAAAGCGTTGAGCAGCCCAGGAGTCTCCATAGCATAGGAGGGAGTGGAGGCTGTTTCCAAGCTGAGAGACCTCCTCTTGGCCTCAGAGGGCCGCTCGGAGAAGTTCAGATAAAAGTTTCTTTCCCCACCCCACCCCGCTCCAATTTACTTTCCCTGCCTTCCTCGTTTAGATCAGCAGTTCTTGGGAGTTTCACTGAGCCTTCCTGCTCTCCTTGGCCCCTTCCGGAAAGCCCCAGCGCCGAAGGCTTCCATCCGGACTGAGACAGCAAGGAAGCCAATGGAAGAGAGCCATCGTCAACAGCAGGAAAGGCTGAATATTTCTGGGATTTTTCTTCCCCTTCCTGTCCATAGCGTAGCACAACTCTCTAGCGATTTTGCACTGTATATGTGTGTGAGTTATGTACAGATTTGTATTTGTTTGCATACTGAGTGCTTGGGATGAATTCACAGTTGTATGTGAGATGTGTGCCAAAAGTGACCGTTATGACAGTTGAGAAGTGGGGAAGAGCAATTATGAATGGAACTGTAAGTTGATTGGTCTGTGTGACTCCTGGCCAGAGAGACCATTTTTTCTGTTTGAAGGAGAGTTGTGGGTTATAGTTAGTTAGGTCAGCAATGGGAGGAATAAGCTTCCTGTAAGAATGAAGGACTGGGAGTTAGTGTGGTCTGTTTTGAGAAGAGTTTGTGAATAGATGTGTGGTCTTTTTAGAACTTGTGTTAAAGCAAGTGTTTATGTGTGTTTATATACACACATATATATACAAAAAGGGACATGATGTTGCGGGTTAAACCGCAGAAGACTCTGTGCCGCAAGGTCCAAAGACCAGCAGTCGTAAGATCAAATCCACGCGACAGAGTGAGCTCCAATCACCTGGCCCAGCTCCTGCCAACCTAGCAGTTTGAAAGCATGCAAATGCAAGTAGATAAATAGGTACCACCACGGTGGAAAGGTAACGGTGTTCCATATCTAGTCCCGCTCTGTCTTCAGACAAACGCTGGCTCTACGGCTTTGAAATGGGGATGAGCACTGCCCCCTGGAGTCGGACATGACTGGACTAAATATCAAGGGGAACCTTTACCTATATATACAAAATACTGTACAGAAAATTTTGTACATGCATACATACAGAGTTATGTATACTCATACATACAGAGTTGCAACAGAAGGTGTCTATCTGGACTAGATCAGATGGAAAGCTCTTTAATCTCTCTAGATTGAGAGCAAAGACCAAAGTCCAGCTGAAATGCATGCAGGACTTCCTCTTCGCTGATGATGCAGCTGTTGTTGCCCATCCTGCTGAGGAGCTCCAACAACTTATGAATCGTTTTAGTAAGGCCTGCCAAGGTTTTGGATTAACAATCAGCCTGAAGAAAACACAAGTCATGGGTCAGGGCGTGGACTCACCTCCCTCTATTAGCATCTCTACACATGAATTGGAGGTTGTTCATGGCTTTGTGTACCTTCGCTCAACAATCTTTCACACTCTTTCCCTAGATGTCAAGCTGGATAAACACATTGGCAAAGCAGCTCCCATGTTCTCTAGACTCACAAAGAGAGTATGGTTTAACAAGAAGCTGACAGCATATACCAAAATCCAGGTCTATAGAGCCTGTGTCCTGAGTACACTCCTGAACTGCAGTAAGTCCCAGATCCTTTGTGCATGTCAGGAGAGGAAGTTGAACACATTCCATATGTGTTGTCTCCAACGCATTTTTGGTATCACCTGGCAGGACAAAGTTCCAAATAAGTAGTCCTAGAACGAGCTGGAATTTTTAGCATGTATACATTACTGAAACAGCAACGTCTATGTTGGCTTGGGCATGTCATGAGAATGGCTGATGGTCGGATTCCAAAAGATCTCCTGTATGGAGAATTAGTGCAGGGAAATCGCCCCAGAGGGAGACCACAGCTGTGATACAAGGATATCTGCAAGCGGGATCTGAAGGCCTTAGGAATGGACCTCAACAGATGGGAAACTTTGACATCTGAGCATTCAGCCAGGAGGCAGACGGTATAGCATGGCCTCTCCCAATTTGAAGAGACACTTGTGCAGCAGGCCAAGGCAGTCCCAAAAATCAGGGAGCTGGACAGGGGACAGATTGTATTTGTCTTCAGTGTGGAAGTGATTGTAACTCTCAAATTGGCCTTCTCAGCCACACTAGACACTGTTCCAAGACCTCTATACAGAGCACATTACCCTAGTCTCTTGAGACTGAAGAATGCCTACTACTACATATACAGATACAGTGGTGCCTCGACTTACAAACTTAATCTGTATTGGAATGGTGTTTGTAAGTCAAAATGTTCGTAAGTCAAAACACCATTTCCCATAGGAACGCTTTGAAAACTGATTAATCCGTTCCAGCTGAAGAAAAATATCACCAAAAAAAGAGAAAGAACACAATAAGCCCGGTCGGAAGGCGCTCCATTGCTGAGGTTTAAGAAGAAGAAAAAACCTCCAGAGACAAACACTAAAGCCACCTCCGTTGCTGAGGTTTAAGAAGAAGAAAAAAAACTCCATAAACAAAAAGTAAAGCCACCTCCGTTACTGAGGTTTAAGAAGATGAAAAAAATCTCCAGAAACAAACACTAAAGCCACCAACAACACAGCACAGAAACATACCTGCCCCAGTCAAAACCCACCTAGAACTGTTTTTTAAAAGGAGAAAACAGCAGCTTACCTCCCTGGATTGAGAGAAAGAGAGAGAGAGAGAGACGGAAGCAGAAGGAGGCCGCCCCAAGCATCTGACAATGACCACACTCTCTCTAACTGCCAGAAGTGAAAGTGTTAGAGTACAAAGCAGCCTTGTTGCCACCTACAGTTAGAAATCTGAATTGCCCGCTGTAGTGGAATCCAAAAAGGTGATGTCATTCCTGCCTGTCCATCACAGCAAAAAGGGGGAGGAGCCAAGGATAGAGCAGGAGGGGTGGAGCTAGAGTTAGAGTTCGGGAGTTGGAAGGACAGTTGGAGTTAGGGAGAGGTAGAAAGAGTCAGGGACCAGAAGATGTATAGAGAGTGTTAGGGTTTAGGAATACATCAAATGAGTTTAGGAGAGGAAATCGAAAGTATAACACATGGAACCAGCAGGAATAAACGTATAAGCATAACAAGAGAGATATAAAATTGATAGTAAAGTGATTGATTGCATGATCCTAAAAGTATTAACACCTGGACCAACTCATATATGATTTTCCTGTTGAATAATAATAAAAGAATACTTAATCATAAACCCTGCGTCCTAAAGTATGTGACCTTTTTGAGGTGGCAGCTCCTGTGTGGGACTTGAAGTGGTATTAGCGAATAATTTGTGGCAGCAAAAAGGGCGTGTGTTCCTTTGTGAGGCCCAAAGAAATAGGGGCAACAAAGGGTTGATC